TTATCTAAATTATTAATTGAAATAAAATTTTAACAGATAACTTGTGACGCATGACCTACACACACATAGCAAAAACACATAATGAAACATACACTCGGTTGGTATTTAACTTCTTTCGTTTCATTCTTAGTGTGTTTTTAGGTCTTAACCTCTTATTGTGTCTTAATCATGGCCTAGGAATGCCTAGGATGTAATGTGGATGCCAAGGATGCAACATGGATGCCAAAATGCATTTTAGAACTCTTAACAAAACTTGATGAAAACAGGGGTCATGCTCGAGCGCAACTTTTGTCGCTCAAGCGGACATGCAAACATGTGATAGGTGGCTCGAGTGCAAATTCCCTCGCTTGAGTGCTCAACTTAAGTACTGGATGTTTGAAATGCTTTAAATAAATGTATTTTTTATTTTTTTAATTAAAAAATTAAGAAAAAAATATGAATGTTTGAGTTAATTTTTTATTTTTTTATAAAAAAATGTGTAATAAAAAATTGTATAAATAAAGTATATAGGGGAAGAAAGTTGAGTAGATTGTAGTCTTAATAGCAAATTATTATTTCCTTCGGGGCAAAGTGCTTGGACGGTAATGGTTGGTCCGTAGGGGCCACCACGGGTCCCATTTTAATAATCTAAACCGGTCAATATGTACAACTCGTCGAGTATTATATGCCTGTAAAAAATCACATTGATCGGATATCAATTGCTATATGATCGGATTCGTTTTTTTTTCAACAATGAACTATCACACCATCCATTTTTTATATAAAACTATTTTGATCATATAGTTAACGATATCTGATCAACGTGATTTTTTATATATATATAGTACTCGACGAGTTCTACATATTGAACGGTTCAGATTATCAAAATGGAAACTTTAGTAGGCTCCCAAGAGCCCAACATTACCATAAAACTTTGTAACTTTACATATGTAATTTTTTTTTTCCAAAAAGTGTATGACCTGCCTTCCTACTGGGACAGTACGGTTGACAGTATAATGAAAACTTTTATATAACAAAAATGTATAAAATATTTTTTTAATATTTTTTATTTATGAATAATAATTACTTTTTTATTTTTTATATAATTTTTTTTACTTTCTAAATTTTTTGAGACTCGTCAAACCTAACCTAAATCCACTACCATTATTTGCAATTTTTTTTATACTTGTCTTCTCAACACTCACTCACTCACTCACTCACTCACTTACACTCACTCACTCTTTCTCTCTCTCACTCTCTCCCTCTGTCTTTCTATCGATTTACAAACCCACGTGGTGGACATGGCCAAATTTGTTAATAATACAGCCTAATAACAATAATAATAATAATAAAAGAATATAAAAATAAAAAGCATTCCGTTTATAAATTTAATTAGTTGTAATCCGTACTATGCATGGCATGATATGTAAAAAAATTAATAATACATTTTTATATAAAATGATATAAATAATTAAATTTTTATATATAAATTATGAAAATAAAAATGATTAAAATTTATAATTTAAGTCTCACAATTTTATCATAATTTATTTATTATTTTTTAATTTGTGACAAATTTAATCATGTAACTTTCAATCCTCCCTTGCTAGAATTACAAATTTAGATGAGCTCAACCTAAGCAACTTGAATAGAGCTTAAATTTTTTTAAAGATTGAATAACATAATTTTTTAATTAAAGTGAGTACTTATACAGAAATTCAAAAATTCAAATTAAATTTGAGTAGATTTTGATAGAAACACCAAACAACCTGAGCAGCTAAAACAAAATTATATATATAAATATATAAATTATGTGCAAATTTATTTTTTAAATAATAAATAAAATTAATTAAAAATTTTATATTAATGAACAAAAGAAAAAGCAATATATTTAGAGCTCGTTTGGGATGTAGGTTGGGTTTTTGGCTTTTTAACTTTTTGGCTATTTTAGCCTGGGGCTAAAAAAACTCGTTGGAGATAGACTTTTTGGCTTTTTTGACTTTTATGAGAGAAAAAATGAAATTATTATGGGTTGAATGTGACACTTTGTCCTATTTGTCTAAAATAATCTATTTTGTCTTATATAACTATTTTAACCCAAATGGGCCATCCCAAACGAGCACTTAACATGTCCAATAGAATTTTTCTTGAAAATATTTTAAAACTACACATTTTAGAATTGGATCTCCAATAAAGGGTTGTTTGAGAAGTGACATATTAGCTAACTTTTTTTTTATTTTTTTATCTTTTTTTTGGTCACATCGCATCTATATTTTTCTACACATTTTTTTGTAAAAAATAAAAAAGTATACTTCATTATCTTTTTTGGGTCACATTACATCTCTATTTTTCTGTACATATTTTCGTAAATGGCAAAAAAATATACTTATTTAGCACTTTTCAAACTATCACTAAGTTGATATTAAAAAAATTTAGTTTCTATAATGGCATAAATAATTTAAATATGATTTTTTAGAAATTCTTTTTAATTTAAAAATTACAATAAAATATTAAATAGAATAAAATTAAATTTCTTACAAAATAAAAGTATTTGAATAAAAAAAGGTAAGAATAAAATTTAATATGATATTTTCATTTAATCTGAAAATAATTCTAGATGAATAATAAATTATGACTTATAACACTCTTTTTTTAAAAAAAAATAAAAAATTTTAACAAACTGTCATTTTTAATAAAAAAAAATTAACATTTCTTTCTAATTTATTTTAACAAAAGTAACTTTTTAAACATTTGAGCCAAATATATCTTTATTCTTTATTCTAATTCTTTAATTGACAATTGAGATTTAAAAAAAAAAAATCTAACAAAATCCACCATGTTTGGTAAATATTAAAAAAGTTATGTTTTGTTCTTTTGTCAAAAAAATAAAAAATAAAAAAAAAAGCAAAACAAAACAAAACAAAATTAAATTTATATTAAAAAATATTATTGTTCAAGTCCTTATACTTTAGAATGATATAATTTTTTTTTATAAAATTTAAAACAAAAAAAAAAAAAGAAAAAAAATTAATAGCAATTAATAATTTGAACACATGTATTTTTTTAAAAAATTATATTTAGACCAATAATATTTATGACACGTCATTATGACACGTGTGAATGTTGATCTCATTCTAATTGCAGTAATATAATTTGAAAAAGAATTTAAATTTGAAATTTTATTTTATAATTTAATAATTGATGCAAAGTTTAAGGAATGAATATTGATCTCATTTCAGTTATAGTAACATAATTTAAGTAAGAATTCAAATTTAAAATTTTATTTTAAGAATCGAAAATTAACGGTAAAGCACCAATAAATCCCAAGTTTAAGTCTTGTCAACCATTTAGTCCTAACTTTTATCTGTTAGACCTATAAGTCCCATTACAATGTTAATGACATATTTGTGCAATAGTGAAGTGCGTGTTTAACAAAAAAATAGGGGTATATGTGGGTTTTC